ACACACACACACACACACACACACACACACACACACACACACACACTCTTCTGCTCTTCTGGGTCATGGACAAATCACAAAGGCCAGAGGGGATTTGGTCCAAGAGTAAAGCCATGCATTCAATTTAGCTTATAAAAGTGGGTTACAGGGCAAGTCCAAGGCCAAGGCCTAGTAAAGTTGACTACATTGTTTTCTTAAAGCAAGATAAACAGGCTGAATACACAGTGGGGGAACAGGTTAAGCACATAGCTTTAAGTGATCTCCAGGCATATTATTAACTCGGTTGCAAGGCCGGTAAAAGTTCAGCCTCTGAAGTCAAGAGTGTTTCCAGAGAAAGCCGTTCCCACAGCCGTCACCCTGCCTCTGTAGTCCGGAGGCAGAGAGCCGGGAATACCACACTTGAGCTCTCTACATTTAACCCCGACTCCAGCCCATAGAATCATCCCACCCATGTTTCCGGTGGACCTTCCAACCTCCATGAACTTAATCTAGATAATCTCTTACAGACACAATCAGAGGTTTGTTTCCGTGGTGATTAAATCCCAGCAAGTTGACAGTATTAACCATCTTACCCCCCAAAGACAGGTTAAAGGAGAAGATAAGTGATTTGGGAAGCACCCACATCTGCCCGGGAAGGATCTGGTGAAGGGACTCCAGCCATCCCGAGCATGGCACACATGGCTCTGGCAGGCCTTGCCCCCCCCCCACTCCCTCATTTTAGCCTTGCTAAAAACTATCAGAATACAGTCCTAACGCTAGCTACCAAAAGTCTATTCCCTTATTGGGCCACTTCCTCCTGAGGCTGACTACCAAGGCCAGCTTCCAAAGTATTGAAGTCCAGCAATCAAAAACCCCCTTTGGCTCAGCTAATTAACATGTCCAGTTAAAATTAAAAACCTCATCCTAACACAGGGCTCCCCCTTTCCCTTTATAAACTGCCATTTTCCTGTGTGCCATGTCTGTCTCCTCTCTAACCAGAGGCAGGCCTTTGTCCTCCCCTCTTGGACAAATACCCCCTCCCGCTCCCCCTGGTTCCTTTCCCTTCTCCCTCATCCTCTGTCCCCAGTCTTTGTCTCTGTTCCCTGCCCTTTGTTCCTCTGGGGCCAACAAATCTCCTTTGTGCTGAGAACTTGATCCTGGGGTGTCTTGAGCTGACTCCGAGTCTTCCTATACCTGATGCCCTTCTCCATCTCCCTCAAACCATTGATGGCTCATGGCTTAGCCTGACCTGGGCAGCCTGTTTGGAGGACAGGTATGTGTCCCAGTCTCAGGAGCAGCCTAGGGTGTCAGACGTGATCTAACCAGACCGCAGCTGTTAAACTACCAGGCAGAGCAGTTGCCTGGAACCTCCAGCAGGGTCCATGGATCCCCGTGCCCCTGCCAGCAGGGAGCTACTCAAATCTCCAGCCCTCTGCAGAGTCTTCCCAAAGTCAGAAACCCCACGGCTCTAACTCAGGGAAGAGCTACTGACTTCTCTCACCCCACTTCTTGTGGAGGGGTAGAGGGGTAAGGCTTGGAGAGAGGATAAAGTTGGTTTAGCCTGGTAGAAAATGAAAGCCACTCCATCTAGTGGGGTCCGATGAAGGGTCTTTGAAAGGGTAGGGAACAGGCCAAGCCCAGGAATGCCGGGATGGAGATCTAATAAATCAAACTCCTTGGTGACGCATCTCTCTGCCCCTAGTTCCACAGTTGGAAACGCAGTCTGTCTTGTGTCTCTGTGGCTTTGCCTTGGGGGTAACCTGGTAATCAGGTGGGGAGGCCAAGGCGACTCAGGGCTACTCAGAGACAGACACTGTACATCTAGGGGGTCCGGGAGCCATCCAGGTGACGTTTGGGATCCATGGTCCTAGGGGACCTGATACGTGAGAGTCCTGCTGTTACCCTGTCCTAGGGCTTGGGGTGTCTGCAAAGAGTCTGTCCCTTGCTAAGCAGTGTCTAAATTGACAAGACCCCAGGGAGGACCTGGCCTCTCTCCCTGCTGCTGTGGAGAGGTGGTGGGAAGGCCCTGATGTCGAAGGTCAAGCCTCTGCTGGTCACTTGCTGGTCATGTGGCATCGAGGAGCCACGATTTATAATGATACATATTTTGTTTTTCGAGACAGGGTTTCTCTGTGTAGTTTTGATGCCTGTCCTGGAACTCACTCTGTAGCCCAGGCTGGCCTGGAACTCACAGAGATCTGCCTGTCTCTGCCTCCCAAGGGCTGGGATTAAAGGCATGCGCCACCACTGCCTGGCATGTATCTATTTATTTTTATTCGGCAGGAGAAAGGCCTCTTCAATTTCATGAGGACACCTGGCTATGGACTTCCATAATCCAGGATTTTACTCTCTGTAGCCTATAGAAATCTGGCTGTGACCGCTACTAGGGGTCAGGAAAACAGGCCTCAGGG